TTACTCTTGAGGCTGCGCGAAATCAAACAGGAAGTATAATAATAAATCCATGAATCAAAAAAAGGAGAGATAACTGGCTACAGACACACACACACACACACACACACACACAGACGAACATTCAGTTATATATATATAGATTGACTCCATTTCATTTTGGCCAAATACTCGATGATATAAAAAATGACATCGAAGGTATCACAACGACTTGGATTCTCAATCCAATATCAGCACGGCTCAAATTGTGCATCACATTAGGTTACTTGGCAACCGGCTAATCTTTTCAATCGTTGGCATTCCAATTCAGGGCCCATCGTACAACAATTGGTCGTGTTGTTGGCCAATGTCTTTCGTCGATTATAACTCGTTTCATGATCAAAGCGATGCCAACTCCAACAACCATATCATTTCAACAAACAATCGCTGATTTCTATTCAAAATGGAACTATCCGAACGTGTGTGGTGCGATCGATGGGAAACACGTGCGCATAAGATGTCCGTCAAATGCCGGGTCTGCCTTTTTTAAACACAAGGATGTCCACTCAATTGTTTTGTTGGCAATTGTCGATGCCCACTATAAATTCATTGCTCTTGATGTCGGTTCGTACGGAAGAGAAGGCGAAGCAGGTATATATACGATACAATTCGAATGAATTTGAATTTTTGTTAAATTCAATTGTGATTTCACAGGCATTTTTCTGAAGAGTGAGATGGGAAAGTTAATAAACAGTGGCAATTTCAATATTCCACCATCTGCTGCTCTGCCATCAACGAATATCGTGTTGCCAAACGTTATTCTTGGAGACGAAGCATTTGCCTTGACCGATTCGATGATGAAGCCGTACCCAAGAGGTCAATCGCTTCGTGATGTAACAAAGGCGATTTACAACTATCGACACAGCCGGGCAAGAAGAACAACGGAAAATTGCTTTGGTATAATGTCTGCGTATTTCCGAATTTTCTTCACGCCGATTCATACCACCCCGGAGAAGATTGACAAAATTATTCTCGCTTCATGTGTGCTACACAATATGATGCGTGATGAAAAAATTCCAAGTCAAGCGGAATCCGCATTTGGCAACACCGACAAGAAGAAGAGTGAGATAGAGTAGGTGTTTTCTGAAGAGTGAGATAAAGTAGTTGTTCAAGCAGTGGGCAAATCTTCTAATAATTCATTTATTTCAACTGAATAACGATCATTGTCTTTTGCAAAGTTGTGTAGTTTGAGAAGACCAACAATTTAGTGTCTCCAAATTTGTACGCATATTGGCTAGAAAATGAAATGGGGTGAAGTTGGTGCTCTATATATATGAAGTGGGAATTTGCATGCAATTATCACTTTACGTGCGTAAATCTTCAGTGGAGTATAATCAAGAAAAAGAATTCTTTCTGCATTGACGTCTGACGCTGTATCAAGAAAAATTGAACCCATTCGCGTAGACTCTATACTCTAGAGTGAAACAAATTCTTATTTCACTTGAATGTGAACAAGAGCCACAAACACTGTTCAAACCAGATTGAAATTTAGATTATTTTTTATGATTTATTCTGTATAATTTATTTTCATTCTTGGATTTTGCCTACGGCATATGACTCATACAAATCGCGTTCAAACTTAGCACGAATGTACGTTAAGGTCACAAAAATTTAAAAAAAATTCTACTCCATACCAATACCCATATCGTAAGCAATTAAAAAGACAAATAACTTGAGCTGTTTTTTGACAGATATTAATCGATGGTCCAACAAAGCAACAATATTGGTTGGTATGAATGGTATCGAAAAGGGGAATCGAAGGAAATCATCCGATTATTGAGTTAAATTGGTTCAGCTATTCGTCACCTGAAAAATACACATCGATCAAAAAGTTCAAAGAAATGTCTTATTTTGTGAAAAAATTATCCAACATTACCATTGTTAGTAGCCAATGAATCTATTCCAATTGCTCTGCAATATTAATTTTGTTTCCTTTACCGATAAAAAGTTTGGCGACATCATCGTGACCTGAGCAATAATAATACAGATCAATGGAAAAGATCAAAGCGATATCTTATTTAGTCAGCTTTACCATTGTTAACAGCTATTTGAAGAGGTGTCTCATTCGAATTATTTTTAACATTAACATTTGCTCCTTTGCGGATGAGAAGTTTAGCGACACTCCTATGACCTAAAAAGTAATTTAGATGGATGAAAAAGATCAAATCAATCTTCTATTTGGTAAAGACAAGTATCCAATTATTACCATTCCGAGCAGCAAAATGAAGAGGTGTGTCTTTCACATAATTTTCACTTTTAACATTGGCTCCTTTACGGATGAGAAGTTCAGCAATATTCTTGTGACCTGAAAAATAACACAGATCGATGAAAAAAAATAAAACTGTTTTCCTATTTAGTGAGAACAAATGATAAATATTACCATTCAAGGCAGCTAAATGAAGGGGTTTATAATTCCAATTATTTTCCATTTCATAATTAGCTCCTTTACTGAGTCGAAGTTCAGCGACATTCTTATGACCTGAAAAATAATTTCGACCGATAAATCAGGTCAATTCAATCTTCTATTTGGTAAAGACAAGTATCCAATTATTACCATTCCGAGCAGCTAAATGAAGAGGTGCGTCTTTCACATAATTTTCACTATTAACATTGGCTCCTTTATGGATGAGAAATTCAGCGACATTCTTGTGACCTGAAAAATAACACAGATCGATGAAAAAAAAACTATTTTCCGATTTAGTGAGAACAAATAATCAACATTACCATTCCGAGCAGCTAAATGAAGAGGTGCGTCTTTCACATAATTTTCACTATTAACATTGGCTCCTTTACGGATGAGAAGTTCAGCGACATTCTTGTGACCTGAAAAATAACACAGATCGATGAAAAAAAAATAAAACTGTTTTCCTGTTTAGTGAGAACAAATGATAAACATTACCATTTTTAGCAGCTAAATGAAGTGGTGTATTATTCCAATGATTTTTCATTTCATAATAAGCTCCTTTACTGAGTAGAAGTGCAGCGACATTCTTATGACCTGAAATTTTTTTTGACCGATAAATCAAATCAATCTTTTATTTAGTGAGAAAAAACTCATAAAATCTCGTAGACAGCATTTTTAAGGTGTAGAAACGTATATGGAGACCATTCCGGAGCGCTGTGCGTTGTTGTAACAAAAATGATTAATTGTTGTAAAATGATATACAATTTGTTGTATGAATGACGTGTGCGAGTCGCTCACGGCAGCGTATACCAGCGTTTGACCAATTTGGCTGACTGTGCAGCCCAAGATCGCTGCATATGAGCTTACTCGCAGTAATCATTTGATTTTTAACTTTCCTTGATTAAAGACCAAATGACAAAAATCGAACCGTAAGCATTTTTAATATTATTATAAATTATCACAAATTTTCCACAAAAAGATTCAAATGTAAAAGATTGGATCCAAAATTTATAAGTGAAAAAAATTCCGAACAACATTAAAATTACAAATTTCAGACTAAAATTGTCGTCTCACCTCCGATACCACCAAGCCAACGAGCAGCAGTGTGAAAGATCTTTGACCCAGCATTTTTCCAGCTTCGAACTATCAAAAGTGTGCTGTAAACGTGTCAATTGAAGAAAATTGACGAACTGTTTGATTGACAAACGAATCGAGCGCATCTGAGTGTGGTCACGTCAGCAATACATTAATGATATAATTCAATCCTCATACAAAGACAATTCTAATTGAAGCTCACGAAATATTATCGCACACATTTTTTGACCGATAAATCAAATCAATCTTTTATTTAGTGAGAAAAAACTCATAAAATCTCGTAGACAGCATTTTTGAGGTGTAGAAACGTATATGGAAACCATTCCGGAGCACAGCAATTGTTGTAACAAAAATGATTAATTGTTGTAAAATGATATACAATTTGTTGTATGAATGACGTGTGCGAGTCGCATACGAGCGTACTTGCAGTAATCATTTGATTTTTAACTTTCCTTGATTAAAGACCAAATGACAAAAATCGAACCGTAAGCATTTTTAATATAACAACACAATCGTGTAATCGACGATTCCACACCGAATGTAACAAAAAATGGATTTGACTTCTCCGATTTTGCTCAAACTTGGTGTATAAACTTGCTATGGCCAAAAAATTACAAATGGATGGGGCAACAAAAAATTCCGGGCCCATTCAGGCCCAGAAAAGTGGGTTCAAAGTATTTATAAAAAGTGAAAAAAGTCAGATAGATATGGAAAAAAAATTTCGTTTTTTTTGCTTAAAAGTCGGCCCACCGAAGCGAATTAACCGAAGAGAAATTACTACTTCCTACTTTTTTCAGAATAAATTTCTGGGAGGTCAAGATTTGCCATTTTTCATGGTTTTTCGACTATATAATTTTTTTCACGCCGAATAGGTGGTCCAAGGTGGTCTGACGCTGGTAATGTGTTCTGATGGAATGCTCCCCATATGAACGTTCTGCGCTACGCGCTTCATATTGGCGTTATTCTGCGTTATGGTGCACGAAACATACACACAGCGGAACATCGCGAGACAGCGCAAATGTGAGTACACTATACACAGCGCACGCATCTGTGTTGGTGTACATGAGCACACTCACACAAACGATGTGCGTAACACACGAATACAATATATGCGGCACGAATGTGTTCTAACGTGCTGCACTTGTTGTTTCATTGTTTCTTCCTTTCTCTCGTTCTCTTTCTCTCATTCTCTTCATTTTCTAAATATTCACGAGAAAAGGAAAGATTGATGAACACATCGTTTGTGTGTTACGCACTTCGTTTGTGTGAGTGTGCTCATGTACACTAACACAGATGCGTGCGCTGTGTATAGTGTACTCACATTTGCGCTGTCTCGCGCTGTTCCGCTCAATCGGCTGTATTCGGTATGTATGTTGCGTGCACCATAATGCAGAATAATGTCAATATGAAGCGCATAGCGCGGAACGTTCATATGGGTCAGCAGACTCTAGAGAATCGAAAAATACCAATTTTTGGGGCTTCGTTCCCCTTTGGAAGGGCAAGGTAGACTCAAAAAGTCGAAAATTACCAAAAATCACTATTTTACAGCAATAACAGGGATAATATTCGCAAAGCTCGCGAAAATCCTAGTTACGCGTAGAACATTCCAACTACATAAAACCGCCTCTTCTGTCTCAAATCGAGGTCGATAGTTCAAAAAATCGTGCTCCTGTAAGTATTCAATCATTTTTAACTGATTCTAAGGTACCAGCGCTGGTGCGGTGTGTTTCTATAATGTAGCACCTGGTCTCTAGTTTTATTTGGCATATAACAGGTTTCACTTATATGCCACAGAATTGGCATTAGGGAGGTAATATTGACGAAAAAGGGTGAAAAAATCGAACAATCACACCACAACTGCCCAAATCAAGGCAGTGCACCTACTTTTTGACCAAAATCGATTGCATTTTCGAATTTCCCGTCAAAAAGTAGTCTAAGAAGGATCGGTCCAAAATTTGTTTTGAACTTTACGATAAAAAATCAATCGTTTATTCAATGAAAATCAATATTCAACATTACCATGGAAAGCAGCTAAATGAAGAGGTGTCTCCTCCGAATTATTTTCAATATTAACTTCGGCTCCACTGTCGATGAGTTTTCGAGCTTCCTTCGCATTACCTGAAAAATAATGCAGACCAAAGAAGTAGATTGAACAAAGCATTTTTTTAGAACATAAATACTCAAAATTACCAGTCTGAGCAGCTTTATGCAGAGCTGCCTCTCCATTTATGTCTTTTTCGTTTACTAAAAGTTAAAAAATAGGAGATGAATATTCAAATCTTGGAAAATTTGCCGAAATGACTTCGGGTAGGGCGATTTCCATTGTAGATTTTATGTAGTTTAATGTAGTGTTTTTACTTTTTTTATGTAGGAACAATTTTTTTGAGTAATCGGCTATCGAAAAACTGCTATAAAATGGAACAACTCAAATCTTGGTCAAAAAACGTATTTTCCACAAATCAATTTTTTTTTCGAATGAAGAATGGTTCCAAATTTTTTTAGATAAATCGTAGAATTAAAATCAATTGTCTGTTTTCGCATATGTCAGCCCATTCGTTCGATATTGAGACGAGTCAT